TTATTTGATTTTTAAGTTTTCAACTTTTCGATTTTAAAATTGTTCTGTTTTCAATTTTATATTTATGCAATTTTTCAGTTTCGTGATTTTGTAATATTTTGATTTTTTAGTCCTATATTTTTACAATTTTTCGATTTTTCAATTTTTTGGTTTTGGAATTCTTCGATTTTTCAGTTTAATAACAATTCTGCAATTTTTCGATTTTGTAATTTTGCAATTTTTTGTTTTTTTTTTCAGTTTTATAATTTTATAATTTTTCGATTTTTCAATTACATATCCGGTTTTTAATGAACCGATTTTTCAATTTACTTCGTTTTTAAAATTTCTCGTTTTTTGATCTCTTAATTATCCGAATTTCATTTTTTAATTTTCCAATTATTTGATTTTTAATTTTTCAACTTTTCAATTTTCAATTTTATATTTATGCAATTTTCAGCTTTCCAATTTAATAATTTTTCGATTTTTCGATAATTAAACAATTTTTCAGTTTTGTGATTTTGTAATATTTTGATTTTAATGTTCTATGTTTTTATTTTTTTATTTTCATTGAATTGAATTTTTTGATTTTTTTTTCAGTTTTATAATTTTACTATTTTTCAATTTCTCAATTATCCGGTTATAACGAACCAACTTTCGAATTTTTTTCGTTTTTAAAATTTTTCGATTTTTTCAATTATTCAATTGTTGATCACTCAATTATTCGAATTTCGTTTTTCGATTTTCCAATTTGATTTTTAATTTTTCAGAATTTCAATTTTGTAATTTTTCTATGTTGCAATTATATTTCACCCTTTCGATTTTAAAACTATTCTATTTTCAATTTTACAATTATACAATTTTTCGGTTTTGTAATTTTGTAAGGTTTTGATTTTTTAGTTCTAGATTTTTACAATTTTCCGATTTCCCAATTATCCAGTTTTTAATGAATCATTTATATCCAAGACTTTCCAATTTTTCAATTTTTAATTTTTTCGGTTTTGGAATTCTTGGATTTTTCAATTTCATAATTTTACAATTTTTCGATTTTCCGATTATTTGATTTTTAATTTTTCAACATTTTATTTTTCAATTTTGTAATTTTTCTGGTTTACAATTATATGTCAATTTTATATTTATGCAATTTTTCAGTTTTGTGATTTTGTAATATTTTGATTTGTTAGTTCCACATTTTTACAATTTTTCGATTTCCCAATTGTCCAGTTTTCAATGAATTAATTATTATAAGACTTTTCAATTTCTCGATTTCTTCAATTTTTTGGGTTTGGAATCCTTCGATTTTTCACTTTCTAATTGTTGGGTTATTCAATTTAATAATTTTACAATTTTTCTATTTTGTAATTTTGCATTTTTTTTATTTTTTCCAGTTTTATAATTTTACAATTTTTTGATTTTTCAATTATTCAATTTTTTTTAACCAACTTTTCACATTCCTTCATTTTTAAAATTTTTTGTTACTTTCAATTATTCAATTTTTGATATCTCAATTATCCAAAGTTCATTTTTCGATTTTCCAATTATTTGATTTTTAATTTTTCAAATTTACAAAAATTATTCAATTTTTCAGTTATGTGATTTTGTAAAATTTTGATTTTTTAGTTCTATATTTTTAGAATTTTTCGATTTCCCAATTGTCCAATTTATAATGAATCAATTATAAGACTTTCCAATTTCTCGATTTTTCAATTTTTTGGTTTTGGAATCCTTCGATTTTTCATTTTCCAGTTCTTCGTTATTAAATTTAATAATTTTACAATTTTTCAATTTTGTAATTTTGCATTTTTTTTATTTTTTCCAGTTTAATAATTTTACAATTTTTTGATTTTTCAATTATCCAATTTTTTTTAACCAACTTTTCAATTTCCTTCATTTTTAAAATTTTTCGTTTCTTTCAATTATTCAATTTTTGGTATCTCAATTATCCGAATTTTATTTTTAGATTTTCCAATTATTTGATTTTTAATTTTTCAAATTTACAATAATTATTCAATTTTTCAGTTATGTGATTTTGTAAAATTTTGATTTTTTAGTTCTATATTTTTAGAATTTTTCGATTTCCTAATTGTCCAATTTTTAATTAATCAATTATAAGACTTTCCAATTTCTCGATTTTTCAATTTTTTGGTTTCGGAATCCTTCTATTTTTCATTTTCCAGTTCTTCGGTTATTCAATTTAATAATTTTACAATTTTTAAATTTTGTAATTTCGCATTTTTTTTTATTTTTTTCCAGTTTAATAATTTTACAATTTTTTGATATTTCAATTATCCATTTTTTTAACCAACTTTTCAATTCCCTTTATTTTTAAAATTTTTCGTTTCTTTCAATTATTCAATTTTTGTTATCTCAATTATCCGAAGTTCATTTTTCGATTTTCCAATTATTTGATTTTTAATTTTTCAAATTTACAATAATTATTCAATTTTTCAGTTATGTGATTTTGTAAAATTTTGATTTTTTAGTTCTATATTTTTAGAATTTTTCGATTTCCTAATTGTCCAATTTTTAATTAATCAATTATAAGACTTTCCAATTTCTCGATTTTTCAATTTTTTAGTTTTGGAATCCTTCTATTTTTCATTTTCCATTTCTTCGGTTATTCAATTTAATAATTTTACAATTTTTAAATTTTGTAATTTCGCATTTTTTTTTTATTATTTTCCAGTTTAATAGTTTTACAATCTTTTGATTTTTCAATTATCCATTTTTTTAACCAACTTTTCAATTCCCTTTATTTTTAAAATTTTTCGTTTCTTTCAATTATTCAATTTTTGTTATCTCAATTATCCGAAGTTCATTTTTAGATTTTCCAATTATTTGATTTTTAATTTTTCAAATTTACAATAATTATTCAATTTTTCAGTTATGTGATTTTGTAAAATTTTGATTTTTTAGTTCTATATTTTTAGAATTTTTCGATTTCCTAATTGTCCAATTTTTAATTAATCAATTATAAGACTTTCCGATTTCTCGATTTTTCAATTTTTTGGTTTTGGAATCCTTCTATTTTTCATTTTCCAGTTCTTCGGTTATTCAATTTAATAATTTTACAATTTTTAAATTTTGTAATTTCGCATTTTTTTTTATTTTTTTCCAGTTTAATAATTTTACAATTTTTTGATTTTTCAATTATCCATTTTCTTAACCAACTTTTCAATTTTCTTTATTTTTAAAATTTTTCGTTTCTTTCAATTATTCAATTTTTGTTATCTCAATTATCCGAAGTTCATTTTTCGATTTTCCAATTATTTGATTTTTAATTTTTCAAATTTACAATAATTATTCAATTTTTCAGTTAAGTGATTTTGTAAAATTTTGATTTTTTAGTCCTATATTTTTAGAATTTTTCGATTTCCCAATTGTCCAATTTATAATGAATCAATTATAAGACTTTCCAATTTCTCGATTTTTCAATTTTTTGGTTTTGGAATCCTTCGATTTTTCATTTTCCAGTTCTTCGTTATTAAATTTAATAATTTTACAATTTTTCAATTTTGTAATTTTGCATTTTTTTTATTTTTTCCAGTTTAATAATTTTACAATTTTTTGATTTTTCAATTATCCAATTTTTTTAACCAACTTTTCAATTTCCTTCATTTTTAAAATTTTTCGTTTCCTCCAATTATTCAATTTTTGATATCTCAATTATCCGAATTTCATTTTTAGATTTTCCAATTATTTGATTTTTAATTTTTCAAATTTACAATAATTATTCAATTTTTCAGTTATGTGATTTTGTAAAATTTTGATTTTTTAGTTCTATAGTTTTAGAATTTTTCGATTTCCTAATTGTCCAATTTTTAATTAATCAATTATAAGACTTTCCAATTTCTCGATTTTTCAATTTTTGGGTTTTGGAATCCTTCTATTTTTCATTTTCCAGTTCTTCGGTTATTCAATTTATGTAATAATTTTACAATTTTTAAATTTTGTAATTACGCATTTTTTTTTAATTTTTTTCCAGTTTAATAATTTTACAATTTTTTGATTTTTCAATTATCCATTTTTTAATCAACTTTTCAATTTCCTTTATTTTTAAAATTTTTCGTTTCTTTCAATTATTCAATTTTTATCTCAATTATCCGAAGTTCATTTTTCGATTTTCCAATTATTTGATTTTTAATTTTTCAAATTTACAATAATTATTCAATTTTTCAGTTATGTGATTTTGTAAAATTTTGATTTTTTAGTCCTATATTTTTAGAATTTTTCGATTTGCCAATTGTCCAATTTATAATGAATCAATTATAAGACTTTCCAATTTCTCGATTTTTCAATTATCCAATTTTTTTAACCAACTTTTCAATTTTCTCTATTTTTAAAATTTTTCATTTGTTTCAATTATTCGGTTTTTAATTTGTCAATTTTACAATTATATTTCAAATTTTTTAAATTATTCTATCTATAATTTTATATTTATGCAATTTTTCAGTTTTGTGATTTTGTAAAATTTTGATTTTTTAGTTCTATATTTTTAGAATTTTTCGATTTCCCAATTGTCCAATTTTTAATGAATCAATTATAAGACTTTCCAATTTCTCGATTTTTCAATTTTTTAGTTTTGGAATCCTTCGATTTTCATTTTCCAGTTCTTCGTTATTAAATTTAATAATTTTACAATTTTTCAATTTTGTAATTTCGCATTTTTTTTATTTTTTCCAGTTTAATAATTTTACAATTTTTCGATTTTTCAATTATCCAATTTTTTTAACCAACTTTTCAATTTTCTCTGTTTTTAAAATTTTTCATTTCTTTCAATTATTCGGTTTTTAATTTGTCAATTTTACAATTATATTTCAAATTTTTAAAATTATTCTATCTATAATTTTATATTTATGCAATTTTTCAGCCTCCTTGGTTCACGACGAATAAAAAAATTATCACAATTGAGACAGGGCGGGCTACTTCTAGAGGTTCACTTTCGAAGAGGAAGGACTTATGGGGAAACAATAGCTTTATAGGGAAAAAAAACACAAAATACTTTCCAAAATTTTCTAAGCCTATTGCATCACCACCCTTTTAAAATATACACAACTTTATCATTTCGTCACAAACAATATTCAGAAATTAACTTTACATACATTTGGTCAAACTGAAAAATGTTGCTACTTTCAGGTACAAACTGAAGAAACAAACCACTTTCAACTTAATATAGACCTACTATCACATCTTGGAATTCCAGAATTTGAAAAGTAACAATCCAAACAACACCACTCAGCTATTATAAAAAAGCAAAAACTTCTCCAAACATTTTGGCAACTCGAAACTTTCAACCAAATCCATAACCCTATTCCCTCCCAAAACCTTCCATAAATACAAGCGAACTTGTCGTTTCAAACTCAAGGGACACCTAACCGTTCGAAACAAAATCGTCTCTTGATCTAAAACTGCAACACTCCTCTTCCTAAGCATACAAACATCCAGAGACTCGTTTGCTTGCAACAAAAGCAACAAAATCGAATCTCTGTTGGTGTAGATCACGTTGAGCAGAGAATTTAGAACTCCGTTAGGATCCCGAAATTGAGTTTTCGGCAGCAACTTCGCCCCATACTTAAGAAGAAGATTCACCACTGCTAAACTCGGGTTCGAATTACTCGCTAGATACTCCACCAAAACGGGCCTCAACTGAGAAACGTGTTGCTTGTGCTTGTAGATTTCTAGATTAGGGTTAGCACCAGCTTTCAACAACATCTGCAACCACAAATACACAACGTATCCAAAAACAGAGATAATACAAACCTGAAGAATCTCGCATCTGTTGGGAACGCTATCGCTGCACGCTACATGCAAAGGCGACCCAATTATAGGCGAACTGAAGTTAACATTGGCCCCTGAAAGCACCACATAGAAGACAATTTTCCCAGACTGTAGCAAAATCGTACCTGAATGGATCAACATCTCGACGATCTTCGGGTCGCCTTTCAAGATAGCCAAATCCAAGGGACTCGGCTTACCTAAATCAAAATCCTCGTCGTAGTTCAATTTGGCGCCTTGTTTTAGCACCAAGTCAATGATTTTGTAGTTTCCGGATAGAACGGCGTAGTGTAGTACTGTTCTGAAGTCGTGCCGCTCGTCAGTCATGGCGGTCACGTCGGCGCCATGTTTGAGTAGAATTAAAGCCGCTTCTAACCCTTGAGGCAACCTCACTACTTTCATCAACGGAGTCAGTCCGGATCTGTCTCTGCTGTTGGGATCTGCGCCAAAATTTAACAACAACTGGAGGAACTTATAATCAGTCACTAGGTTAATTTGGGTGCCGAAGAAGTAGCGTCTGTTGGCGTCGGCACCATGTTCCAGGAGAAGTCTCGCGATCTCCACGTGGTTGTTTCTGATCGCCAGACGAAGCGGTTCCTCCGGTTGACTTTTCTTCAAACAATCGTCCTCTCGGTACAAGTGAAAGTTCACTCTAGCTCCAGACTGGAGCAGAAGGTTCACGATTTCCACATTTCTAGAAAAGCGGAAATTATTCCCCGACAAGTTTAGTGACAGTCGTACCCGTGTTCCACAGCCAGGTGCAAAGAACTATAGCCACAATTATCAACGGCGTTAAGGTCGGCCCCCCTGGTTAGAAGAAGTCGCACGGCTTCGCAGTACCCTTGCCACACTGCATAGTGCAAGGGCGTCAAGCCCCCACTCACTTCGTTGATCTGAACGCACAACAATCAAAATTGGTCTTTCGAGCCGGATCACCGTACCTTTGCTCCAGACGCCAGTAATATTCGGATTTCGTCCAGTGGTGCCAACCGCATGATGCAGTCGGCCAGTTGTCTTTGTACATCCACCGGCATTGCATCTACAACAAGACGCACTTCTCACCGGCCTTGGTTTATTATTACGGTTTGAGTATTTTCGAAAGTTATTAATGGCAAGAGGCACCGAAGTGGCTGCCAACAGATGGAAGTGACATCAGAGTGAGCATTAAGTGCTTACCTGGTTATAGACGAAGATGATGGTGGCTATTTCAAGGAATTGAAGAAATGGTGGTGGATTATGCGAAGAGGTTTTTTAGGTCGAAGTGTTTATGGGAAAAGTGTGTAGCGATTAATTAGCAGGTTTGTGTCGGAAAAGTGGTCGCGTTATACTGAGTAAAATCGTCAACGATTTCTATTTATACGATGTTTACTCATCCACGTGGTGTGGACGAATTTTGTAAAAGTCATTGCGGTGTTTAATTGTTGTATGTGTTGAAAGATGGTTTTTATGAGAAGTGGCACGTATTTCGAAGTCTTCTGATGGTTCTGTGTTGTTTGAAACGTTCAAAAAAGTGTTGACTGGTTGTGTTGTTTTTCCCGATTTTTCGAAAATATAAAGTTATTTTATACAACCCTATTCTACATCTAAATAAAAAAATGCACAAATATGAATTCAAAATTTTTTAATAAATAAAATTAATTCATTAATTGATTATTTTAAATATCTCGAAAAATTATTTACAGATTTTACTTGTTTCCAAAATTACACACTTGAACCATGTTTGATTAATTAATAAAATTAATTTATTAATTAATAAACAGTTCTGTTAGGAAAATAAAATTATAGTGTTAATTTTTAAAATTACGTTGTACAATTTTGAATTTTTGCCAAAAATCTACAAGGATAAATGAACCATTTTTTGTTTAATCGATAAACCTAATACACTATTTAATAAAGAACTCTGAAAAAAAAAATAGAAAGTTAAATTATAAAATTCTGTTGCAGAATTCTGATCTTCTTTCGAAAATCTACACAGATAAATGAACCAGTTTTGGTTTAATTAAAGAAATTTATTAATTCATTAATTCGTTACTTTAACCGTTTAAAATTCTGTTTACAATTTTGATTTTTTTTTCCAAAAATTTACACATATAAATAAACCATTTTTTATTTAGTCGATAAAATTAATTTATTAATTAACTAATTACTTTAAACATTCCGCATAGACAATTATAGAAAATTTAAATATAAAATTAAATAGTGAAATTCTACAATTCTAATTAATTTTTTTTTCAAAAATCGTCACACTCAAATGAACCATTTTTGATTTAATCAATAAAATTGCTTGCTTAATTAATAAACAATTGTAGACACTAAAATTAAATTTTAAAATTCGGTTCTAGACTTTCAAATTTTTGTCAAAAATCTACAAACAACCAGAAATGAACCATTTTTTATTTAATCAGAAAAATTAATGCATTCATTCATTAACAATTCTAGAAAGTGAAAACATGAAGTTAAATTTTAAGATTTTACGATTTTGAATTTTTACCAAAAATCGACACACTTAAATGAACCATTTTTAATTTAATTAACACAATTAATTCATTAATTAATAAACACTCCTCGAAAATAAAATCATAATGTTAATTTTTGCAATTCTGTTAAATAATTTTGATTTTTTTGTCAAAAATGTACACGCATAAATGAACCATTTTCTGTTTAATCAATAAAATTAATACAGAAAGAACTCTGGAAAAGAAATAGAAAGTTAAATTGTAAAATTCTATTGCAGAATTCTGAACTTCTTTCGAAAATCTACACATATAAATGAACCAGTTTTGATTTAATTAAATAAATTCATTAATTCATTAATTCGTTACTTTAACCGTTTAAAATTCTGTTTGACAATTTTGATTTTTTTTTCCAAAAATTTACACATATAAATGAAATATTTTTTATATAGTCAATAAAATTAATTTATTAATTAAGTAATTACTTTAAACATGCCGCATAAACAATTACAGAAAATTTAAATATAAAATTAAATAGTAAAATTCTACAATTCTAATTTTTTTTTCAAAAATCCTCACACTTAAATGAACCATTTTTGATTTAATTAATACAATTAGTTCATTAATTAATACACAATTGTAGACACTAAAATTAAATTTTAAAATTCGGTTCTACAGTTTCGAATTTTTGCCAAAAATCTACAAACAACCCGAAATGAACCATTTTTTATTTAATCAGAAAAATTAATGAATTCGTTCATTACCAATTCTAGAAAGTGAAAACACGAAGTTAAATTTTAAGATTTTACGATTTTGAATTTTTACCAAAAATCGACACACTTAAATGAACCATTTTTGAATTAATTAACACAATTAATTCATTAATTAATAAACACTTCTAGAAAATAAAATCACAGTGTTAATTATTGTAATTCTGTCAAATAATTTTGATTTTTTGCCAAAAATGCCAAAGCATAAATGAACCATTTTCTGTTTAATCAATAAAATTAATAGAGAAAGAACTCTGGAAAAAAATTGAAAGTTAAATTGTAAAATTCTGTCGCAGAATTCTGAGCTTCTTTCGAAAATTTACACACATAAATGAACCAATTTTGATTTAATTAAAGAAATTCATTAATTCATTAATACGTTGCTTTAACCGTTTAAAATTCTGTATGACAATTTTGATTTTTTTTCAAAAATTTACACACATACTTAAATAAACCATTTTTTACAACGCAATAAAATTAATTTAATAATTAATTAATTTCTTTAAACATTCCGCATAAACAATTATAGAAAATTGAAACATAAAGTTGAATAGTGGAATTCTACAATTTAATTTTTTTTTTTTTTCAAGAATCGTTACGCTTAATGAACCATTTTTGATTTAATCAATAAAATCAGTTCATTAATTAATAAACAATTGTAGACACTGAAATTACAGTACAGTTTCGCATTTTTGTCAAAAATCTACAAACAAGTAGAAATGAACCAGTTTTGATTTAATTAAGAAAATTAATTCATTCATTAATTCGTTACTTTAACCGTTTAAAATTCTGTTTGACAATTTTTATTTTTTTCCAAAAATTTACACATATAAATGAAGCATTTTTTATAAAGTCAATAAAATTAATTTATTAATTAACTAATTACTTTAAACATGCCACATAAACAATTATAGAAAATTTAAATATAAAATTAAATAGTAAAATTCTACAATTCTAATTTTTTTTCAAAAATCGTTACACTTAGATGAACCATTTTTGATTTAATTAATAAAATTACTTGATTAATTAATAAACAATTGCAGACACTAAAATTAAAATTTTAAAATTCGGTTCTACAATTTCGAATTTTTGCCAAAAATCTACGAACAACCCGAAATGAACCATTTTTTATTTAATCAGAAAAATTAATGAATTCGTTCATTACCAATTCTAGAAAGTGAAAACACGAAGTTAAATTTTAAGATTTTACGATTTTGAATTTTTACCAAAAATCGACACACTTAAATGAACCATTTTTGAATTAATTAACACAATTAATTCATTAATTAATAAACACTTCTAGAAAATAAAATCACAGTGTTAATTATTGTAATTCTGTCAAATAATTTTGATTTTTTGCCAAAAATGCCAAAGCATAAATGAACCATTTTCTGTTTAATCAATAAAATTAATAGAGAAAGAACTCTGGAAAAAAATTGAAAGTTAAATTGTAAAATTCTGTCGCAGAATTCTGAGCTTCTTTCGAAAATTTACACACATAAATGAACCAATTTTGATTTAATTAAAGAAATTCATTAATTCATTAATACGTTGCTTTAACCGTTTAAAATTCTGTATGACAATTTTGATTTTTTTTCAAAAATTTACACACATACTTAAATAAACCATTTTTTACAACGCAATAAAATTAATTTAATAATTAATTAATTTCTTTAAACATTCCGCATAAACAATTATAGAAAATTGAAACATAAAGTTGAATAGTGGAATTCTACAATTTAATTTTTTTTTTTTTCAAGAATCGTTACGCTTAATGAACCATTTTTGATTTAATCAATAAAATCAGTTCATTAATTAATAAACAATTGTAGACACTGAAATTACAGTACAGTTTCGCATTTTTGTCAAAAATCTACAAACAAGTAGAAATGAACCAGTTTTGATTTAATTAAGAAAATTAATTCATTCATTAATTCGTTACTTTAACCGTTTAAAATTCTGTTTGACAATTTTTATTTTTTTCCAAAAATTTACACATATAAATGAAGCATTTTTTATAAAGTCAATAAAATTAATTTATTAATTAACTAATTACTTTAAACATGCCACATAAACAATTATAGAAAATTTAAATATAAAATTAAATAGTAAAATTCTACAATTCTAATTTTTTTTCAAAAATCGTTACACTTAGATGAACCATTTTTGATTTAATTAATAAAATTACTTGATTAATTAATAAACAATTGCAGACACTAAAATTAAAATTTTAAAATTCGGTTCTACAATTTCGAATTTTTGCCAAAAATCTACGAACAACCATAAATGAACTATTTTTTTATTTAATCAGAAAAATTAATGAATTCGTTCATTAACAATTGGAGAAAGTGAAAACACGAAGTTAAATTTTAAGATTTTACGATTTTGAATTTTTACCAAAAATCGACACACTTAAATGAACCATTTTTGAATTAATTAACACAATTAATTCATTAATTAATAAACACTTCTAGAAAATAAAATCACAGTGTTAATTATTGTAATTCTGTCAAATAATTTTGATTTTTTGCCAAAAATGCCAAAGCATAAATGAACCATTTTCTGTTTAATCAATAAAATTAATAGAGAAAGAACTCTGGAAAAAAATTGAAAGTTAAATTGTAAAATTCTGTCGCAGAATTCTGAGCTTCTTTCGAAAATTTACACACATAAATGAACCAATTTTGATTTAATTAAAGAAATTCATTAATTCATTAATACGTTGCTTTAACCGTTTAAAATTCTGTATGACAATTTTGATTTTTTTTCAAAAATTTACACACATACTTAAATAAACCATTTTTTACAAAGCAATAAAATTAATTTAATAATTAGTTAATTTCTTTAAACATTCCGCATAAATAATTACAGAAAATTGAAACATAAAGTTGAATAGTGGAATTCTACAATTTAATTTTTTTTTTTTTCAAGAATCGTTACGCTTAATGAACCATTTTTGATTTAATCAATAAAATCAGTTCATTAATTAATAAACAGTTGTAGACACTGAAATTACAGTACAGTTTCGCATTTTTGTCAAAAATCTACAAACAAGTAGAAATGAACCAGTTTTGATTTAATTAAGAAAAT